ATATTATATATATATATATATATATATATATATATATATATATATATATACAGAGAATTTGAAGAAATGAGTCCTGAGCATTACTTTGAGATTTTCATGACTCTACATCTGCTTGAATGCCTTCAACCTAAGAATTTGTAAAGAAAGTGGTTGGTACAGGATGAAACTATGTAGATATGTGGTATTTTTTATTGTGAAATACAGAGCAAATATAAAGTTGCATATATGTATTGAACATTGCTGAGATAAATATGAAAGCACTAGGTTATTAGCCATAATTTCACAAGAGGCTTGCAGCATAATTGAAGAGACATGTAAGTATAAGCTTTCTAGATATGTCAGTTTTAGAAAATGTATATTTACCCAGTACAGCACTACTTTGCAATATATTTCATTGTTTCCTGGCCCTGTCCTTTTTAAAATTTACTATTCTACTTTTTAAGGCTTAGCATAAATATATACAGGCTTGTCACATGCTAAGCAAATGCTCAACCACTGAGCTAAACCACCCAGCTCCAAGATCATATTTTTAAAATATGCTGATAATCTTTGCTTAAAAAAAAAACAGTGTGGTACATGCTTGTAATCCCAGCACTTGGGAGGCTGGTGCAGGAGGACTGTTGTGAGTTTGAGACCAGCCTGGGCTACAAACTGAGCTCAAGGCCAGCCTGAACTGCACAGCGAGATCCTATCTCCAAAAGACAAAAAAAAGAATTATAAACTAGATTGTTTACTTGCTTGTTTTGTTAACTTTCATATCCGCAGTAACTTTAGTATCAATTATTTCTTTATTTTTTTTGTCCTTTTGAGACAGAGCCTTACTTTGCAGTTCAGGCTGGCTTTGAGCTCACTTTGTAGTGAGCTAGAATTTTTTTTTTTTGTTGTTACTGAGACTCGAACTCAGGACCTAGTGCTTGCCAGGCACTGTTCCACTGAACTATATCCCCAGCCCTAGAATATTTTTTGAATACTGCCAGGAGTCAGTAGGGTGGCCTTTCTGAATTAAGAGCTATTTGGGATTTCTTAGTGCACAAGTTAGTATAATACTTCAAAAACTGTTGATCTTTGAGTTCACCCATCTTAAAAATTACTGCTCCTTCACATTATATTAAGTGAAGTAAGCCAGACACATAAGGAAAAATACCATATGTTCTTACTTATTTGTGGAAATTAAAGGGTTGATCTCATAAAAGACAGTATACTCGGAGGTATGATAGACACTGTGAAATGATAGGAAACCACCGAAGAGTAAAGGGCTTCTGGGATGTGGGAAAAGAGAAGGGAAAGAAGGAGAAATTTTGTATGTATGTATATACAGGATAGATAACATGGTTGTTCTTCTATCTGCTGTTTCTATGCTGAAAGAAACTGTCAATGAGTCTTTGGTTGACCAGTATTGCATGTCTATATCTGTTTTCATGAGAAGCCACTTTGAAGATATCAATATGTAATACAACCACCATTGTTAATTCCCTACCACTTTGTTTGGAACTCTGTATTGTCTGTATTGTGCTTGTGATATGTTGTAAAATGTTGTATGTCTGTTAATGTTTCCCTCCTTTTATCCTTAAAATAAAATAAATAAAAAATAAATAAATAAAAGACAGTATAATCGTAGTCACTAGAGATTAGGAAGTCAGTGATTAGAGGATTTGCATATTAAGAGGAATACTTCTAGTGTTTTGTAGCACAGGTGGGTAACTGTAGTCTATTACAGTGTATGATATATTTTGAAATAATAGAATAGTTCAAAAATTCTCAACATACAGAAATGGTAAATATTAGAGAAGATAGAAATTATGAATTATCCTGATATGATCATTATATATTGCACACATGTATCAAATTGTGATAATATATCTCCCTTAAAGGTGTAGGAATATATGTCAATTAAAAAATAAAAAAAGAATTTTTGCTCCATTCTATATCATGAATATGAGAATTCTAGAGTACTGGGCTTGAATAATTGTGTGTATATGTAAATTTGGAAAATATAAAATGCAGAAAGAAAAAATAATGTTCATAATTCAAAGATAACCCAAATTTTATGCACTCTTTTCCACGCTGGTATATATATGTATAAAATAATGTATATATATTATTTTTAAAATATATATATATTTATATATATACCCTCATTTATATTCACAAATACACATTTATTTACTAAATTGATATTTTACTCTTTGGAATTTTGTAATTTATCTTCTTGCAGTAGCTTTATATTTTAAGCATTTTCCCATGGCATTAAACATGCTAAAACATTATTTTGATGCAAACCTATAGTTTGAGTTACTTGGGCCACTGAAGCAAGAGGATCGTTTGAACCCCAGAAGTACAAGATCAGCTTGCAAAATATAGTAAGACTCCATATCAAAAATACAACTAAAATATTATTTTAATGACTATGCAATAATCCCTCTGGATCCATTGTACTTTTAGGCATTTGAATATTTTAAATAATTTCTACTATTAAAAACAGTTCCAGCCAGTGTGGTGGCGCACGCCTGTAATCTCAGCACTTGGGAGGCTGAGGCAGGAGGATCATTGCAAGTTAGAGGCCAGCCTGGGCTACAAAGTGAGCTCAAGGCCAGCCTGAACTGCACAGCGAGACCCTCAAAAAGACAAAAAAAAAAAAAAATAGTTCCAAGAACCAGGTGCCATGGCCTGTGCCTGTACTCTCATTTTAAAAAATATCAATAATAATTTCATGATGATATAAGAATTTATTTTTTATTTTTTTGGTTTTTTTTAGACAGGGTCTCTCCATGTAGTGCAGGCTGGTCTTGAACTTGCATATATTGCCCAGGCTGGCTGTGATCTTGCAGAGATACTCCTGCCTCCGGAGTGCTGGGATTACAGGCGTGCACCACCACGCCCAGCACGATATTACAAAAAAATTATACAGAAATATTTTCAATAGTTTCTGCTTCTTTGGAATAGAGTCCAGAAAGAGATTTAGTAACGTAAATGACACAAACCTGTGTGTCTGCACGGACTCATGTATGAGTGTGTTGCTGGGGATCAAAACGAGAGCCTGGTAATAGGAGCATTTTAAAGACCATTTTTATTACCAAATGACGTGTATTATGTTATACTGATTTGTATGATGGCAAGTAGTGATTTAGAAGTGGAATCCCTTAATTTTTAAGAGTAT